CAACAGATAGGAAACGTGTATTTGAGGGATTGGACTTTTTCAAAAAGCCACAGATGAACATTCATTTATGAATTCAACTGCTGCTTTGGCTCTTGTTTTTTAAATTACTAGCTTCCTAACTAGATGCTAAACTCTTGTCTGCAAGGATGTTTAAATTCACTTGAATGTTTTTCACAGTACTTATCAGAAATGACTGCTTATAGTAGATTTTCATTAAATTTTTGTTACAATATATGTCATTCTTAATGCTGTGGTTTTTTTTTTTTTTAGTTATGTCAGTCAGTGATGCCTGCTGGTGTTGATAAAATCTCCACTGCCCAGAAATATGTTCTAGCAAGACGGCGTTTGGTGAAGCTGATCAACAATCGAGCTAAACTGCTTTCCCTTTGTTCTTGTATCCTTAATGCAGTCATCGAGACTGCAGGGTGCTTGAAGGGTGACCTCTAAGGGAATCTTCAAATGTAGAAACTCTTATTCTCACATTATTTGGGTATCAGAACCAAATGGAAAGGGGCATAATTACCATTATTTTTTTTCCTAGGTAAATGCCTGACATATTTCTAATGGAAAATTTTTCTTACTCTTTAGGGTAACTAGTAATCCTCATAATATATGCAGATACTTTGTGTCCAGACAGGAGGTATGGACACTGAAGGCTCTGTGAGCACTGCGCCCCAGCGTCTGACCTCCTTCCTCTCAGCACAGCGTGCTGCTTTCTGGAGACCTTACAACCAGCTTGTTAGACTGAAGCTGTGGGTATATCACTGAATGGTGCAGTCTCAGAAACTGGTTTGTAGAATTGTGATGAGATTGTTTTCCTTGAATCTGGCCTCTCCCCTGTAGTCATCATAGAGACCTGCCTGTTTATTCTCTGGCGCCATCTGGAGTACTACTTGTTACACTGCACACCCACCGATTCTCAGGATTCCTTATTTGCTTCCAGGTCCTTATTTAAAAGCAGAAGGCTACAAGGTAAACTTTATTCTGAAAATCAATGAACCAAGGATGCCTGCAGATTTTAGCACCTTAAAACCTAGTTACATTTAACCGACTTTTGACTGTTGTGGTTACAAAGCATGGACTAGGTAACTAAGTTACTAGGCATAGCTAGTTTTTGTATTTCCCTTCTGTCCCTAGGAGATTGTGTGGAGCACAAGAGCATCTTAGAGGCTGTCTTCAGCTGCTTCTCAGCTTTTTGCAGTTAATGGCTGATGCAGGTCCAGAGTCCTCTGGTCCAGAGGAGTGGAAATGGGTCAGCCTTGGCCACACTGCTCATTGCTAAAGGGATCTTTTGTGACTGATGAGCATGTATTGGATCCCTTAAGTGGCAGGAAACAGAAGGAAAGCTTGAGAACCCTGGCCTGGAACATCAAAATGCTTCCTAGGGGCTTCCATTTACTGAAAGCTAAGAGAGAGTCCTCAGCTGTGACCCATGCCTGGTCACAGACGCTGTGGTTAATTGTCATTGGGTTCTTCTCTTCTGTGGAGGAGACACACCTGCAAACCTAGTTTGACTGTGTCTTTTATCTCTAGATTCCTTTGCTTCGGAAAGCAATCTGGATTTTAGAAGTGGGTTAACTACAGTGAGCCAGCATGATATAGACCAGGTAACGTTCTATTCTCATACTCTTGTTCTTTTTTTGCAAGTATAAAGGGAAAGCCTGGTATGTGAGTAAGATGATAGTTTTCACAGTTGCATGCAAAGACCTGATTTGAATTCTGGGATAGCAACCTAATAGCTATGTGACTCAAAGCAAATTACTTAGCCTCTGAGCCTCCATTTCCTCAGCTTAGAAATGGAAGTGATAATTCAACCTCGAAGTGTTTTGTCAGAATTAAATGAGGCCTTCATGTGTGAGACGCCAGGGTAGTGCCTAGAAAGTAGTAAGAGTTCAGTAATTAATATGCTTTATAGTCTGGAAACTCCATATATCAACAGTTACTGCAATTTAGAGCAAATTTAAAACTGTATGTACTTATACAAGAAGGAAAAATGTTACTATCATACCAGTAAACTTCAGGGTGGAAAATGTGAATGTTGAGTTAATTTGGCATCTGAGAAAGGACCACATTACAAAAATTCAAAGGTATTTTAAATAGGAAGACAAAGAATAAAAGAAATATTTGAGACTACTTAATCATGAAATGTCACCCGTGTTACTTCCAGCTTCAGGCTGACGCTATCAGTGCTTTTGGAGAATCACTACAGAAGAAACTTCTGGACATTGAAGGATTGTATTCAAAAGTGCGATCTCGCTATAGTTTCATACAAGCTCTCGTCAGACGCATCCGAGGCCTGCTAAGGATATCACGGAACTGAGAGCCTATGCTTATACTCTTCTGAGGAAGAGACAAATTGGGGAAAACTGTCTCCTTTTTATAGTTTCCTTCTAAATTATGACCAGAAGATATTTTGCTATTTCTTTCTTTATATATGGACTTCTTTTCTGTAAACTTCTTTGCCTGGTGCCATGCTCACTAGTTTAAAAAAAAAAAAACTTTTTTAAAAAAACAAACGTGGTCAGTCTCTTGAAATTTTATCTAGAAAATGGTCAGCATTATCAGGAATTCAACAGTTCAACATTCCTTCCACAGTGCTGGTTTTTCCCCAGGGGTATTATTCTGAATGCCAAATTAAAGGCATAGTCTGAAAAACTTGTATTTTTCTTTCCTTTGTAGCCATATAACATGTTTTATGATAATGCTTTTTTATTTTTATTTTATTTTTCATAATGCTTTTTTAATAGAAAAGTATATTTAATACACTGTGTTACAGGAATGTCTCAAAGTCAAGGCATCTCTTTATTAAAAGTATTTTTTCTTTCTTGCATGTAAATGATGAAATAATCACTTGCATTTATTCCCTAAAATAATTATGAAATTTTTCAAATTAATCATCTGCCTGTATTTTGCACATAGTTAATAGGGTGACTGCTGTTAGCACTCTTACTTCTTGCCTGGTAGTATTTATGTGCATGTGACTACATCATCTGTAAGTCCATTTGCTGCTTTCCAGTCACCAATTATTTCAGCCCGGTATATAGAAGAGACTGCTGAGAGGGGAAAGAGTCTTGATGCTCAAGTAGTGGCAGAAAATTAATACTTAATTCTATAATTTTTTTTCTTAATAAAATGTCCATGACATTTTAGGCATTTAAAGAAACTTTGTTATATTTTGAAATTAATCTACTGCCTAACACTGACAAACATCAGTCTTTAACTGCAAAGCATCCTGTTAATAAGGAGCATTCTTGGAGGGATGTGGATGAGTAAGTAACTGGTCCAAGATGTAGTAAGCCTGGCTGCAGCTGCTTCTGCTGCTGCTAAGTCACTTCAGTCGTGTCCAACTCTGTGCGACCCCATAGACAGCAGCCCACCAGGCTCCTCTGTCCCTGGGATTCTCCAGGCAAGAACACTGGCGTGGGTTGCTATTTCCTTCTCCAGTGCATGCATGCATGCTAAGTCGCTTCAGTTGTGTCTGACTCTGTGTGACCCTATGGACAGCAGCCCACCAGGCTGCTTTGTCCACAGGATTCTCTAGGCAAGAATACTGGAGTGGGTTGCTATTTCCTTCTCCAGTAAGCCTGACTGTTGCTCCACTAATCAGGCATATGGTAAGCTTTATCATGTGGAACACAGACATGAACACAGAAATATCAGGAAAGAGCCTGAGGCACAGAATCAAAGCATTTTGTAAACTTCTGATGTGTGAAGCCTTCCACAGGACACAGAGCTAGTTTGGGATAGTTAAGATTTGGGATTTACTGAGCTTCATTATTTTGTTTTGCCACCATTTCTTCCAAAATTAACAGCAGAATGGGGATCAGAAGTTGGGGCAGTGGAGAAGTGTGTGGAAAAGAGAAGCTGGAAGAACTGCAGCTGCACTGTATATTGCTTTAACGGCTGACGAGAAATGCTGTTTGTGTAATAAATATAACAGGGAGAGGCTAACACTTAGGGCGTACGCCTGACTCAGCGTTGTTCCCTGGGACACTGGGAGAGAGGCTGGTGGATGTTGCATGTGCTCTTCAGCAAAGCAAAGGAGATTGAAAAAGATTTTAGATTTTGTTTTTTTTTAAAGCATTTGGAGCGTAGATCATCTATTCCTCAATCCTTTTTTGCAGCATAGATCATCTATTCTCCAATTCCTTACCAGCTGAGCCACAAGGGAAGCCCAAGAATACTGGAGTGGGTAGCCTATCCCTTCTCCAGGGGATCTTTCCTACAGGAATTGAACTGGGGTCTCCTGCGTTGCAGGCAGATTCTTTACCAACTGAGCTATCAGGGAAGCCCATTCCTCAACAATACTAAATAAATATAGGATCTTAATGTGTTGCTTTTACTGAGTTAGTTTGCTGGAATTAGAAAATCAAAAAGAGGTGAGTACGTTCTTCCTGGTTATTAGGGTTTTAGTTTTGATAAACTGTGGTTGTTGTTTAGTCAGTAAGTTGTGTTTGACTTTTCCAGACCCCATGGACTGTAGCCTGCCAGGCTCCTCTGTCCATGGGATTTCCCAGGCAAGAATACTGGAGTGGGTTGTCATTTCTTCCCCACACAGGGATCAAACTCGAGACTCTTGTATTGGTAGGCAGGTTCTTTATCACCAGCGCCACTTGGGAAGCCCCAGTGGAGTACGCTCCACAGGTGATTCTGCTTTGCCTGTGTGGATGGGAACCAGGACCTCCTGTGGTCCTTCTAGGTCAGGGAGTTCAAAGACTGGTCTTTGGGATGCCGGTAATCATACAGACTACTAGGCCCCGACCCAAGTTTATAGAAGCGGTACTTGAGCACTGGGCTCTAGAATCTGAATGTTCAAAGCTTCCAGCCTGGCTTGGGCCTTGGGACCTGGCTCCTACTGTACCCCGCGCGCTCTCGCCAGACAGGCAGTTCAGGAGGTGGTCCTCAGGCGCTCTACTAGGGGGCGCCAGGAACAGCTTCCGGGTGAAGCAAGGCGGGAGAGGCGGAGCGGGGCGTGAACCGGAAGTCTGCCGCGGGCGCCGCCCATCGCGCCTGGGGAGGTAGGTCCCGACGGCCCTCGGAGACAGCCACCTTTCGCGCCCTCCTTGCCGACACTATGCTCCAGTTCTTGGTGAGTGGAGCTGCCGAGGAGCGAGCCGGAGCTTGGCCCAGGGCTCTCGGGGGCTCCAGACGCCCCCACCCCGACCTCGTGCCGGTCTGGGGGGGTGGGGGTGCCTGGGCGTGGGTCCAGCAAACCCCGGCGCCTAGCTCGTCGCCTTTCCGGGTGGGCTTTGGGGGTTTTTGTTCTGCCTCACTCATCCTTTCACTAGCGTTTTTCTGACGCCGTAACTTTTGAGGTGTCAGAGCATAGGTGTTTTTTCAAATCTGTTGTGTGATGGGCCACGCGTGCTTTGTGTGCCTTCCTCATGTTCAGGCTCCTTAACGACTTTTCGGCCCTCCAGCGCCCTACTTAAACACGTACCCCGTCCGCCGCTTGGAGCCCTGCTGGTTGCCATCTTTGAGAACACAGGAGGGCCGGGAATAAACTCGAAATTCGTGAGCTGCCGGAGTTAGAGCCCGAGGGAGCCCTCCTCAGACCTTTTATAGCTTCCAGACTGAGGACGGCTGGTTGCTGACAGATGTGAGTCAGGCCGCGGTGAACAAGTAGTTTTTCCAGAATGCTTATTCTGGGAGAAAATGAGTGTTACCATGAGTAAGCAAATTATTTTTCATGGCTCTCCTTAAGTTAGAAACAGGTTTTCTGGCAGAGATTGCCTTGTTGAAGGTTTCAGGAGGACTTGCCAACTTTCAGCGTGAAAGTCTTTATTCTCAGGCTTTTGTGCTTTAAAAACTTGATTCTTAAATTCTGAGTGATAAGAGGCGAGTATTCTGAAAACCTTCCAGGTGGCCCATGGAAACTGAGTACTCTTGGGACGAGATACTTTCCCAAATGTTACTTTCTTTTTTTTCCTCCAGCATGCAGAAACGAGATGCTGTCCTTCTGTTTTATTTCCAAGTTTGGGGTAATTAAAAAAAATTTTTTTTCAATTTTTATTGGAGAATAATTACAATGTTATGTTCGTTCCAAATGCTATATTCTTTATCAAAGAGATTAAAGAAGAAAAAGTGTCCCTCTGTCCTTTTTGAGATGGCAGTTGATTTTTCAGTCTTATAGACCAAAAGAGGGTATCCCTGACAGTAAACTGCCTAACCAAGACATGGCTACACCTCTGGAAGTTTGTCCAGTGCCCTGACTAGGAGTCAGTAGAAATGATTACTGCCTTATAGTTGTAGGAAGCACTCAGGTTAAAAACAGTATGGGCCCCAAAGTGTAAGATGATGTCATTGAGTCTCCTACTTCAGCTGTAGCTCATTGGTAACTGGGAGGACATGGATTCAGAAGGGTGGTGCTGGAACAGGTTTGGAAAGTGATGGAATAAGTCACAAGTAAGTATCTTGGAGGGTGCATTGCCACCACCCATTTTGGAACCCTCCAAGATGTTTCCTGCAGTTGTCATTTTCTGGAACACCATTTGAGAAGCACTGCACCTGATCGTGTTGCTTATATTAATATATTCTCTTCATTGCTCATTTCTCTGGATTACAGTATTTGCCCATATTATCCATTCCTTATGTGTCGAAACTTGTTCCTGTGGTCCTGGCGCCTCTTTCTGCCTTGATTTTACTGCAGTGGCCTCCTCACTCGCAGCATGGTGTAGCCACAGTGTGATCTAAGGAAACTTTCAAAGCTTTTCAAGGGAAACCTGATATGATGGACTCTGCTGGTGGTTTGTGTGTGCTGCCTTATGCACTTTCATGGGGTAATGCGTTGGTTCTCTTCTCTCTCACAGGAGCAGCCTCTGTTACTCTTACTCACCTCCTCTTTAATCTGTCCTCCTTCAGCTTTTGGGTCCTGCATCTCAGTGCTTTTCAATATTCTTACGCAGTGGAACATGCTGGGACTTGTTTTTTTTTTTTTGGAAGAAGCTGCACAGAGTACAGGTGACAAGCCCTGGGTCCTGGCTGCTCCAGGGGCCGAGAGGAGCAGTATCTCGGTGCACCAGTTGGGAAATTGCCTTATCTAATCTCCCCGGTTTGTACTGGCTGCTGTTCCCTTCTTTTGGTTTCTGGCTGTTTCTCAGAGCTCAGATCTTGACTCTCTATTTCAACACCCTTAGGGGACGTGTTCTTGTCATGCTGTTGTCTTCACCTCTGTTGACAGCTTCCAAAACTACCTTGAGTTCTTTTCTCTGAGTTCAGTTCCCCGTCATCAGCTGCCTCCTGAACATCTCTTGTCCAACCCTCAGTTTCCCCAACATAAAGTGGACAGTAATAGTACCTGCTTTAACAGGGTTGTGAAGACCATGATCCTAAAAAGGAATTAAAATGCAGCCTTTCGCATAGTAAGCACTCAGTAAGAGTTAGTATTGCTTTAAGCCATCAAGTCTTCATTACTTAACCTTAGGACAGGTTCTGTCTTTGTGTTTCCATTGTCAAGTTTGTAGAGCAGGTCTTCTTCCTTCCATCCTTGGACTGGCTGCACTCGCCTAGTAGGTATGAATTAGAGAAGTTATTTTAGATTCTCTAGTTGAACATGCTGTTGCTTAAGTCTCTGCTTCTGAGGAGGCATCCAGTTCATATTCAGTCACCTCCAGTTCCAGCAGGATCTGTTTCCTCAGGTCCTCTTTCACTTTTGGTCAATGTCTTCTTACCTGGCTCTACTCTTTGATGTTAAAAAAGCAGTTCTAATTCACGTGACGATCTTTTACGGTTTCTGAGCGTTACCTTGGTACCGCTCTCTAACTCCCTGCTCCCGCCAGTCTTGTCTTTAGGCTACCCATCTCTTCTTCTTCCACTCATTCTTCATGGTAATCCTTCTCTGAATATTCTAGGTTTTGAATTGTTTTTTTTAAACATAGCACTCCCAATATAATCTGATCGGCTGTAGAATAGCAAGGCTGTTGTCTCTGGTTCGTTGTGTCTCCCTTGACACCCTTGGTTCTGTCCTGTCTTGCAGCTGCCAGAGTAGTCACCCAGGAGGGTCTGTCTTATTCACATGCTCAGAATCTGTGGGTGCTCCCCGTGTCCTTCCCCATCGAGTCGTAACCACTTTCACTTGATTTTCAAGGTTTCCTTCCCCACTGCCCTTCAGCATGTATCCTCTGGCGTGGTTTGCTGGGCTAATCTCACTGGTCCACCCCGGGGTATGGACCTTCCTGCTGTCACATCGTCCCACTTCCCCTTTATCCTCCTTTTTGCCTTGGCAGCTCCTCTTAGTGGCCCATCTCCCACCTTTTTCCACAAGCCATCCTGATGACTTTACTCTTGAAAGCTTTACATTGTTGTGATCCATCTTCCCATTTATTTAGGGTCTTTCATCAGGGTTTTTTTTTGTTTTGTTTTGTTTTTTTAATTTTCTTAGTGATAGTCTTGCTTTTTCTAGGTACTTTTTAGTTCTGCCTAGTATTTTTTTTTTCCTTCACTTTTTACTGTGTTTAGTCTTACCTAGTATGCCTGGGTGCGTTTTAGTTTTGTTGTTGGTTAACGTGACACCCTTTTTATCATTACATTATAACTGAGCAGAGGGCTTGTGTGCCTGCTGTACAGAAAAGTAAACTGTGACAGCAGTGTTTGCCGCAAAGTAAGGCAAGGCGCCAAGCAAGGGAGTAGGAGACAAGGCTCAGATCTGCTCCAGCTTGGTCTTTGAGATTGGGGTTTTTAAAAGGGAAAAAACAAAGAAGCTGGGTCATTGTCTTGTGATGTTTCTGTGACCTTTCTTAGTTGTAGTTTTGGAGTCAGGGTTGTTCCTGGTTTACAGTTCTGTGGCCTGTGACTCAGGAGTCTGTTAGCTCATCTTATCCTGGAGAAGGAACCTGAGTTTGTATATTAGTGATGTTATGCACAATGGCAATTTTCGTACATTAATGATGTTATTGACAGTAGCACATTTAGTCCATTAATTATACTATTTAAAAAACTTTTTTTTTAAAAAAAACTTTTTTATTGAAGCATAGTTGATTTTTAATGTGTTGATTTCTGCTGTCCAGCAAAGTGATTCAACCACATATGTGCACATAAACATCCTTTTTCATACTTTTTTCCATATGGTTTATCACAAGGTACTGACTAGTTCCCTGTGCTATACAGTAGGACCTTGTTTTTTTAATGATAGCATTAGCAACAACTTTAGTCATCTGACACTGGTTGATTAGTGTTCATTTAGCACAGGGTTGAGGTCAGAGGGAACAAGAAAACGGAATGAAGTTTTTGTTTTTTGTAGTGAAACAAGTCACATGTTGATTAGGAGGAAAAAGAGTACAGTATGTGTGGATAGACACCTGGGCAGTCTCAGAGCGAGAGTCTTGAGTTGCCAGGAATGAAGTTTTGGATAAAGAGCTTGATTAATCATAAACTAGGCAAGGGTACTTAGTTTTAGGATGAGTCAGTTTCACCATTGTCGAGTTAGTTGTTGCTGATGTATAGAAATGCTAACGATTCTGTTATATTGATTATGTATCTAGCATCCTTGTCTACCTTTTAGCTCCAGTAGTTTGTAGATTCACTTCGGAGAAGGCAGTACTATGAAGGCACTCATATCTCCAGGGAAGACAAAAATCACAGTTCTGTGTTCTTTTCCAGTTCTTCTTTCCCGCTCTCCTGTTCTCACTCTCAAGTCAGGACCTGTAGTAGAAGTAGAGTGGATATCCCAGTTATGTTTCTGCTTTGAGTGGAAATGCTTCTCAGGTTTTAGTAGGATGTTTGTGTTTCTGATATTTTCTAACAGATTCATGGAACTCTCTTGATAGCTCAGTTGGTAAAGAATCCACCTGTAATGCAGGAGACCCTGCTTCTATTCCTGGGTCGAGAAGATCCACTGGAGAAGGGATAGGCTACCCACTCCAGTGTTCTTGGGCTTCCCTTGGGGCTCAGCTGGTAAAGAATCCACCTGCAGTGCGGGAGACCTAGGTTCTATCTCCGGGTTGGGAAGATCCCCTGGAGAAGAGAAAGGCTACCCACTCCAGTATTCTGGCCTAGAGAATTCCATGGACTGTGTAGTCCATGGGGTCATAAAGAGTCGGACGTGACTGAGCAACGCTCGCTCACTTACTCCTGTTTCTTAGGAGTTTTTAT